TGTAACTGGGTGTGTGTGTGTGTGTGTGTGTGTGTGTGTGTGTGTGTGTGTGTGTGTGTAAATGGGGCCTCAGTTTAAATTCTTAAACCAGTGAGGTCCACAAAAATAGGAGCAAGAAGTTTTTGCATGTTTTAGTTCCTATAACCAACCACCTGCATTACTAATTCGTTTTCACATTGTGAATTTTCTTCTTACTTTGTTGTTACAGCCAAAGTTGCAAAAAGCACAGGTATGTCGTCATTCCTTAATTTTTTTTATTTTTGTTGTTTAGAGAAAGTGTGTGTGTGTGTGTGTGTGTGTGTGTTTTTTGTTTTTTATTCTGTTAAAGGTTAAAGTGACCTTAAGGCAAAAAAATGTTTCCCTCCCCCCAATGTTAGTTAGCACTTACCTTAACCCCTGGCGCGCACGGGCAGAAAAGACCCGTCCAATGCAAACACCCGTTATAGCTCTATAGCCTGCCGCTCGTCTATATGTGCTTGTTTTTTTGCCGTCTGCCGCGGCCGCTGCCGGTTTTCTGTTAACTCTCCGGTATTGCTTCTGTTGTAAAGCAGACAGTCGGCTCTACATGTTTAAACAGCCCCGATGCTGGCGACATACACTGTATGTCGTCAGTCACGAATGGGTTAAATGAGGTTTCTTAATCCGATCTTTCTCTTTCCTGATGTTTTCATCTGTCCCTCCAGCGGTGCGGCAGCTCTCCGATCCAGCGCCGACTCCTCTCTGCTTGCAGGTGATCCAGCGGTGTCTGCATGCGGGTGCACGCGTCCATAGACTTACCTTGCGTCTCTGCTCGTCTCCCGGCCGAAAATCCAAACTGCGCATGCGCCCGCACCAAGATGCTTTGTGGCCGCCCAAGCAGTTTCGGATTCTCGGGCAGGAGCGCGCAACGAAAACAGGGTAAGTGTAATCCGCTGTTAAAGCGTTTTTGTTTTTTTAACTTTTTGCCTATATCTACTGCTTGCTAGCAGTAGATATAGGCAAAAAAACTGGAGGGTTTAGAGCCCCTTTAAGTGTACTTTGTTACCAGAGATTCCCAAGATCACTACTGCCCAGGGAAAATTTAGCAGCATCGGTATGTGTTGATTAACTTAAACTCTGACTCACTTGCATGACTAGTTTGCATACCTAAAAAATATATATAGATATAGACGTGTGTATGTGAGAAATAAATATAAATTGTTCTGTTTTATTACAGGCTGACAAATGTGAAAAAAAACATTTATTATTTGTGTGTGTGTATGTGTGTGT